GAGAAATCTAGTGAAAAGTTAGATGTGCCATTGGTGGGGAATGGAGAGGAAACTAATTAGGGACAAGAGAGAGACTTTCATCATTTTAAGTGACTTTGAGAGAGCAGACGAGCTTGTATCTCATAGGTATGGTACCAATTCACAAGGCTATGGGACTTTCCTCCAACTCCTCTCAATGGTTCTGACATTGAAAGTGAACCCAGAAGAAAGTTAGATTAATCCCAGATTAGGTATTGAAAAGGTACATAGTTAACTTGTAAGCCAAGGGGTAGAGAGTGACATCACCAAAATAGTGGAGTGGGAAGCTATAGGGGTTGGTCCCTCCACCAAAGCAATTGTTGATTTGGAGAGATTGGAATAAGCTCTTTCAGAACTCTGGAACCTGATCCGACCTTATAACAGCTAGGGGACTGCTGGATAAAGGTAGAGGCTGCTATCCTTGGGTAAGGGAGGACATGTGCAAACCAGCCACCAGCCTCCATTCTTCAGCCCTACTGCACATGTGGGGAAAGCGGCCCACATTCCAGGAATGAGGGCTGAGAACTTTGTCCTACCAAAATGTGGGCCTATGTACTTTGGTAGATTTTGCAATGCCCTGAAGAATTGGCACAGATGCTTACCTAGGTTCTGCCCCTCTCAGCTGCAGCTGCTTCCTTTGGCAGCGTCTGTTGGAAGATTTAAAGGGCCAGTATCTTTTGGGGGTTTGCGAGGCCACACATTTTAGAAAATGTTCGTCAGATCACTAGCCGATCACAGAGAAAACATAACAGACGTTTCAGAAACTTCAGCGACCACACACCAACAAGGAATACATACTTTGCCAAAGTCGTTCGGAAAAGTCACAAATTTACAGCCCTCAGCCAGGAAGAAATGGCAATCCCTGAGGAGTGGGAAAAGCAGATTTCTAGAGTTATTACACTTATTTTCAAAGGAATAAAACTTGAAAAAATCTCACTTACCTGAGTTAAGTAATTAGTCAACTTAAGGAATGTTTGAATTTATCTGTTAAAAACTGAAACTATACATTAAGGTATAATACTACACATTACAAAAACTGTATAAAACCATACAGTTCAGGATTCATGCCTTTCCTTAAAACCTTTTCAACTCCCTTAATTACTCTGTCTTTCCTTTAAACGGCACCTCCCAGTATTCAACCTCACAAGTTACTAAAGCAAGGTGCATTTTTATACCTTAATCTAACAAAAAGAAAAATCAATGTGTGTGAGATTATGACAGATTTGTTTCACTCATGCATTACTCTCATATTCTATAATATATTCATGTTTGCTTTCATCTAAAATTAATGTCTCCAAATACTTATTAAGGAAACCTGTTGTTCCAAACACTGCCCATGCACCATCTGGAAGGGGCAGCCTAGCTGAGAAGGCATTTAACTGTGTGGCATTAAAAGTGTTAAAACAATCAATATGCAATATTGATTATAACAGCAAATATTGCAGGTTTCATCACATTTGAGGAGCTGGAAAATTGTCTTACTCTTTGACTTAGTAATCTCACACTTAGGAGCGAAGGAGATTTTGGGGAAATAACTCAACAGCAGTGCCTCAAAACGTAACCTTTGGAAATAGGGTCATTGCAGATGTAATTATTTAAATTAGGATGAGATCATAACGCAGGGTGAGGTGGACTCCTCATCAAATATGACTGGTTTCCTCATATGAAGACTGCCATGTGAAGACAGACACAGGGAGAACACCATGTGAAGGAAAGATCGCTGCAAACTACCAGATCCTCCCAGGCAAGGGAGGATCCCCTTACAGGTTTCAGAGGGAGGATGGCCCTGCCAACACCATGATTTTGGACTTCTAGCCTCCAGAACCGTGAGACAATACATTGCTATTGTTTTAGTCACCCAATTTGTGACCTTTGTTATGGCAATCCAAGAAAACTAATACTGTGGTCACTTGGTTTTATACCAGGGAGCCATGACCAGACAATAGGGAAAGAACAGTCTCTTCAACAAATAATGCTGAGAAAACTGGACATCCACTTGCAAAAGGAAGAAGTTGGACTCTTACCATATACCACATACAAAAATTAACTTTAAAAAATGGATAAAACACTAACTTTAAAACAGAAAACTATAAAACTCTTAGAAGAAAACAGAGGAAATCTTCATTACTGTGGATTTAGCAATGACTTTTTAAAAAATTTATTTTATTTTTGGCTGCGTCGGGTCTTCATTGCTGCCCCGTGGGCTTTCTCTAGTTGCGGCGAGCGGGGGCTACTCTTCGTTGCAGTGTAGGGGCTTCTCATTGCTGTGGCTTCTCATTGCGGAGCACGGGCTCTAGGAGCACAGGCTTCAGTAGTTGTGGCTCACGGGCTCAAAGAGTGCAGGCTCAGTAGTTGTGGCTTGCCGGCTTCAGAGCACAGGCTCAATAGTTGTGGCTCATGGGCCCAGCTGCTCAGCGGCATGTGGCATCCTCCCAGACCAGGGCTCGAACCTGCGTCTCCCACATTGGCAGGCAGATTCCCAACCACTGTGCCACCAGGGAAGCCCCAGCAATGACTTCTTAAATGATATCAAAAATCCAGCTAACAGGGACTTCCCTGGCAGTCCAGTGGTTGAGATTTTGCGCTTCCAGAGAAGGGGGTGCAGGTTCGATCCCTGGTCGGGGAACTAAGATTCCGCATGCTGCACGGCCAAAATAAGATTTTTTAAAAAAAGAAAAAGTGCAGCTAACAAATGAAAAAAATAGGTAAGTTGAATTTTATCAAAATTAAAAACTTTTGTGCATCAAAGAATACTATCAAGATATTTTCTTCTATTTATGATGAGTAATTTTTCTTTAATTTTCTTAACTATTGGAACTGTCCAAAGTAGAAACTGAGAAGAGCCCTAAATTTAGTACAGAATAATAAGAAATAAAGTCATGCTGAAATTATTTTGACATAATGTATAATTTGCATTTTAAAAATGTCTGAGGGCTTCCCTGGTGGCGCAGTGGTAGACAGTCCGCCTGCCAATGCAGGGGACATGGGTTCGTGCCCCGGTCCGGGAGGATCCCGCATGCCATGGAGCGGCTGGGCCCGTGAGCCATGGCCGCTGAGCCTGCGCGTCCGGAGCCTGTGCTCCGCAACAGGAGAGGCCACAACAGTGAGAGGCCCGTGTACCTCAAAAAAAAAAAAAAAAAAATGTCTGAAAAAATTTATAGCCATTGATATCTTAAATCTACAGTTAGATATCTGAAAACTGACTGAAGCATGTAATATGGAAGGTATGTGTCTTGGTATGTTTGGTTTGTAATTTAAGATGGAGGACTAAAACAATAGGAGAGGAACTTCCCTGTGGCACAGTGGTTAAGAATCCACCTACCAGTGCAGGGGACACAGGTTCGAGACCCAGTTCGGGAAGATCCCACATGCTGCGGAGCAGCTAAGCCAGTGCGCCACAACTGCTGAGCCTGTGCTCTGGAGCCCGCAAGCCACAACTACTGAGCCCACGTGCCTAAAGCCCGTGCTCCACAACAAGAGAAGCCACCGCAGTGAGAAGCCCGCGCACCGCAACGAAGAGTAGACCCTGCTTGTTGCAACTAGAGAAAGCCTGCGCACAGCAACTAAGACCCGACGCAGCCAAAAATAATTAAATAATAATAAATAAATAAATTTATTAAAAAATAACAATAGGAGAATCACTTCTCTGATTTGTCGTAATGATAATCGTGATCGTTTGGATCACTAAAGGAAAAAGATGTACCGTATTCATGATGTATGTGAATGCTGTGATCCCATTAATAAAGGTGAAAAACAGAAAGAAAAAAAAAAGGACACTTTAAAGTAAGTGAAAACTCATAAAATGGGAGAAAATATTTGCAAATCATATATTTGATAAAGAATTAATATCCAGAGAATATAAATAACTCTGACAGCTCAGCAACAACACCAAAGCCTAAACCTAATTCATAAATGGAAAAAGGGTTTAAATAATATTCAAATGGTCAACTAGCACATGAAAAGGTGCTCAATATCATTAGTCATTGAGGAAATGCAAATCAAAACCACAATGAGATACCACTTCACATCTCCCAGGATGGCTATAATTTTTTAAATGTAAACTAACAAGTGTTGGTGAGGATATGGAAAAATTGGAACTCTTACATACTGGTTGCTGGAATGTCAAATGGTGCAGCTGCTGTGGAAAACGGTTTGGCAGTTCCTCAGAAACTAAACATAGGGGACTTCCCTGGTGGCGCAGTGGTTGAGAGTCCGCCTGCCAATGCAGGGGACACGGGTTTGAACCCTGGTCCGGGAAGATCCTACATGCCGCGGAGCAACTAAGCCCGTGCGCCACAACTACTGAGCCTGTGCTCTAGACCCCGCAAGCCACAACTACTGAGCCCGCATGCCACAACTACTGAAGCCCACATGCCACAACTGTTGAAGCCCGTGCACCTACAGCCTGTGCTCTGCAAAAAGAGAAGCCATCACAATGAGAAGCCGGTGCACCACAACGAAGAATAGCCCCCGCTTGCTGCAACTAGAGAAAGCCCATGTGTAGCAACAAAGACCCAACGCAGCCAAAAATAAACTTATAAAGAAAATAAACAGGCTCAGGCTACATTTTAGCTGTTCTGTAGGTACAGAAGTTTTTATCTGATTGTGTATATTAAGATAAGTACAATGAAAAGAGAAAGTATTGGCTTCTTTATCTTGCTTTTAAAATTGTATGAGCAAGTCTTTGAAGGCTTTTCATCAGTTTTGTTTTTGGAAGTGTATACATTGTAATGCTTCAAAAAGAAGATTTTTTGGATAGAATCTGATCTAAAATTTTATACTGTACATCACATAATTGTTACAAAGTGTGTTCAATTTATCAAATCAAAGAGAAGAAGGCATTCAGAAAGCCCCAATTAATTAAATCATATGTTGAAATTACAGTTTGGCTTCTAATTTTGTTTTCTCTTGTGACAGATCTTTTATATAATATAGTCTCTGATTTATATTGAGTCTCAAAATACTGTTTCCATTTTTCTTAGGAAAACGGGAAAGCATTTCCACAACTTCATTAGTTGGCAAGACCTAAGAGCTATTGAACTTGTAAAATCTTGGAATAGTTCTCTTTTAATGAAGGTAATCTTTTTCTTACGTTCGGTGATTTGGTTGTTGCTGTTTTTTCCTGTAAATGTCCTTTAGCCGTAGGCAGAATTGTATCATCTACTGATGATGTCTTAGGACATTAAGCAGAAAATACACACATGCACACTCCCCACCCCAGTGAAATTTAACAGTAGTCACCCAAGAGCGTGCTGGTGGACCGAAGTCCTTAACAGCTGCACATCAGGAAGTGATGAGGAGGTTTGGGGGGGACCAGAGGTTCACAAGTTAGTGAGAATTCATTTCCATTCCTGGAGAAATTGAAAAAAAACGGACTATGTCCAGAAAAGGTACAGACTATGTCCAGGTTTTATCATCTTTTGCTATAAAAATGGTTAATGGACGTTGAGATAGACTGCCACAAGCTTTCACCATGATGCCTGGCAGACGATGATGCTGACTACAATGACAGCCGTAGTAGCATCTCACTCTGAAGTGTGAGACTACCGAGCTAAAGAGCGAGACAATTTTCCAGCTCCTCAAATATGTTGAAACCTGCGATCTTTGGTCTTACAATCAATATTGCATATTGATTGTTTGAATGCTTCTAATGCCACACAGTTAAATGCCTTCTCAGTTAGGCTGCCCCTACCAGGTGGTGCATGGGGAGCGTCTGCAGCATCAGTTTTCCTTGATAGGTGTTCGGAGACATTAATTTTATATGAAAACAAACTTGAATACATTATAGAATATGACAGCGATGCATGAGTGAAACAAATCTGCCATAGGCCCACCCACAATGATTTTTTTTGTTAGTTTAATATGTAAAAATGCACCTTGCTTTAATAACTTGTGAGGCTGAATACTGAGAGGTGCTGTTCATGGGAAAGATAGAGTAAGAGAGTTGAAAGTGGTTTTAAGGAAATACTGTGAACTTTGAATGATATAATTTAAAATTATACTATTTATAATGTGCAGTGTTATACTTTAATATATAATTTTAGTTTTTAATAGGTCAAGTCATTGGATGTTCCTTAAGTTAGTCAGTGAGGTGTTTAATAAAACTTTTATTCCTTTTAAAATAAATTGTGAAAACATTTATTTCTGTAGTATAAGCCCCAGATCTCAAATCGTGATGAAAAACTGACATCAAGCACAAAACTGAGCATTTAAAGCACTTGTCTACTTGATATTGAACAGGTATATGATATAAATTTTGACCTCTCTTAGCAGAGAAATGCACACAAACAGACTCATGGAGTTTAGCACACAAAATTGCAGAGCTGGTCCTGCCAGTGAAGGAACCCTACCCTATAATCATCCTTTTCCAGATGCTTATGGTCTGTTGACTCAGGTTCTTGGAAATGTTTAGGGAGGATGTGCCAGAGCGAGCACCAAGGTCATGCGTTTAGCCAAGGCTACCCACAGGCAAAGTGGTGAAGTAATTGGGGCGTGGTGGCAATCTCCTGGCACCACAGTTTCCTCCAGTCACGCCAGGCACCCATGCTTCCTCTCACTGTTCTGATTCTTGCCTGTTGGTTGCTAAGGCTTCTCTTTGCTTTTAGCATAAAAGTCCCAACTCCTTATCAGAGTTTGATCCTGTCTCCAGCTCTGACCCCTTCCCAGACCCCTCTCTCCCTGAAGCTGCTAAGGATTAGGCTCCAGCTTTGTCAGCCCTCAAGCCCTTTCTTACCTGAAGGCCCTTGTATCTGCAAGGGGCTCTCTCTGCCACCATGGCTGGATCCTTCTCATCCTTCAGGGTGCAGCCTCACCACCACCTCCTCTGTGGGAGCCCTTCTCTGCCATCCTATTCATAGTAGCACTCCTCACCCCCCCAATCCGATCTCTATTACTGTCCTTTATTTCTTTCACAGCACTCATCAAATTTCAGAGACTCTGAGGTGTACATTTCTTAATTGAAGTTTTAATCGAGGTCATTGTAGATTCACATGCAGTTGAAAGAAATAATAGAGATCCTTTACAGGCTTTGCAGTTTCTCCCAGGGGTAACATTTTACAAAACTATAGCATAATGTTACAACCAGGATATTGACATTAATATAATCCATAGATCTTATTCAGATTTCCCCAGTTTTACTTGTACTCAGTTCCATCTGTAGGTATGTGTATGTGTTTTAGTTTCTGTACAGTTTTTTCCATATGTTCACGTATCTGTCACCGCAAGGATGATGAACAGACGCGGAACTGTTCCATCACTACAAGGATCCCTCCCTCATGTTGCTTTTCATAACCACATTCACCACTCTCCTGTGTACCTCCCCACCCTCTCCCATCCCTAGCTCCTTGCAACCACTAATCTGTCCTCCATTACACATTTTTCTTATTTCAAAAATGTTATATATGTGGAATCATGCAGCATAAAACATGTTTTTGATTTGCTTTTTTCACTTAGTATGATTCTCTGGAGAATGCAGGTTGTTACATGTATCAATAGCTTGTTTCCTCTGTATTGCTGAGTTGTATTCAGTGGTACAGATGTACCACCTGTTGAGGGACATCTGTGCTAATTCCAGTTTTGGGCTATGACAAATAAAGCTGTTATGAACATTTGTTTATGGAATTTTATGTGAACATAAGTTTTCATTTCTCTGAGATAAATACCCCAATAGGATGATTGCTAGGTTATAGGGTAACTGCATGTTTTATTTTGTAAGAAACTGCCATACTTTTTCCCAAGTGGTTGTACCATTTGCATTCCCACCAGCAATGTATGAGTTGTAAGACATACATTTTTTTTCCAATTTTGAAAAGGATGATTTTTAACTAGGATACATTTTTTAATCATCAGGGGCTTTTTGGTCATTTTAACCATAATTTATATCTTACAACTATGTCATAATTTAACTAGCAGGATTTTTTACTTTTTTGCTAGTACGTTAAATAGTGGTTCATCTTACAACCAGTGTCTTCTTAGATTATCTCATTTATTGATTTGATTACGTATTTGTCTGTCTCTTCCCACTAGAATGTAAATTTCAAGAAGGCAGGGATTCTGCCTCTTGTTCACTCTGTTTTCTCAGGACCTAGCGCACTTCTTGGTACATGGAAGGTACTCAATAAATATTTGTTAAATATATGAACAAAAGTGTTCCTCGTTCATATGTTGACAAAAAGTGCAGGTATTAGAACTCTTAGTACTTTTTGTGTGCCCCTGCCAAAGTATCTGCATTTTAACAGAAGATCCCTGAAGGATCCTAAATCTAAGTTTTTATATGGAAAAGTATAGTTGCTTATGGAAGAAGAACTCATTTCAGTTCGAAATGTTTCTTAACATATAACACATCAGAAGAAGGATTCTGGGTGTTCACCTTAAATACTTTGAAAAGGTCTTATATTTAATAAGTAATGTAAAATATAAGGAAGTGCAGAAGGTTTGAGTACTGAACAGGGTGAAAAGGAGGATACAGACTTTCAGTTATAATGATGAATAAGGTCTGGGGATCTAATGCATAATATGGTGACTAGTTCATAATACTGTACCGTATAACTGAAATTTGCTAAGGGAGTAGAGCATAAATGTTTTCACCAAAAAGAAAACAAGGTGAAAAAAATTAAAATGAGCCTCATTGTTCAAAAAAAAAAAATAAGGACAAAACTGAAATGTAGAGAGAACTGAGTCTACACATTTCTTGATTGATGCATTATGCTAAAAATGAAAGAAAAATAAATTTATTTCTATTTTAAATAAATAAACCAAAATCTTTCCATTTATTTTGGGGAGGGGTGGGAATAATAGGAAAAAAATGCATAAAGTAGGTAAATTCTCTATAAATGAATGTTTTGTCCAACATCAGTTTCAGAAGTTGAATTGTCCATCTGCATCCTTCTAGTTAGGTAGCAGGATAAGGGTTTATTTTGTTGTGGTTTTTTGGGTTTTTTTATTATGTCTTACAAACCTTAAAACTCAATGCTAGTTTTCTGTATAAGGCTTTTTTTTTTTCAGCTAAAGGTTTTGCATACGAAAAAGTAAATTGAAAACTGTATGTTTCATCTTCAATCATTAGATAAATATAAATAGTATTAAATAAAATCTCTTATCCCAAATTTTAAGCACTTAATGTGTAGGGGGAGCTTCCCTTCTGAGTTAATACTAACTTGATTAACAATATATTTCTAATAGAAAAATAGCCTTCTCCCTTGACTCTACCTTTACTTCCATAGTTAAAAATAGGTAAAGAGGTAGAAAATAGTTATTTTTAAAAGACTTTTATAAGTACTTGAGCCTCTAGTGTTTGCTAAAGAAGTTCATAGTAGATGTGTCACATTTCATAATTTAGAATGCAAATTGTCCTCTTAGGGTGCTTTGCTGGATCTCCTCAAGTGCTGAGAGCACTTTATAAGTAGTTAAATAAATTGTTTGCTATTGGGTTTGTTTGCATGTGTATGAAATTTAATATAGAAACATCAAACACCATTAAATGCATTTTCCTAAAATATCTTTTTTTTTTTAAATAGCTCATACACAGCTCCTGCCGAGTGCTGCACTTTTTCACTAGAAGTAAACGATTTTTAGCAGCCAGTTTGTTCACTTTCACAACCCAACATGTTTCTTTGAGATTGGCCTGGATTTTGCAGAACCTGACTGAGGTAAGGAAAGAGTGTGTGTGTGTGTGTGTGTGTGTGTGCGCGTGCGTGCGCGCACGCGTGTGTATGTGTGTCTAGATTATAGGGATGAGAAAAATGCAAGGAATAAAGATAATAATTTGCTTATTTGAGGGAAAATTAAGTGTCCACCACATTGGGATGGAAGACAAGGAATCCTTACTCAGTTTGTTTTTTTAAAACCTTTTTATTGTGAGTCATGGCACATATAGAAAAGTGAACAAAACAAAAATGTACCACTCAGTGATATTTTGTGGAGCAAATACCTGTGTAACACTACTCGAATCAAGAACTAGAACACTGTGGCACTATGTATTACATTTTTTTTCCACTTTTACAATTTACATGTTTATTCCTCAACACTACACTTTAGCTTTCTTTGCCTGAATATTTTTGAATTTTGTAAATGGAATCATACAGTGCTTATTCTTTTGTGTCTGACTCCTTTTGCTTAACATATTTGTGAAATATGACCAAATTTTATGTAAATTAATTTCCTTATATTTTCATTGCTATTTAGTGTTCAGTATATGATTTTACATAGTTTATCCATTTATCCATTTTGTTCATGTACATTTGAGTTATTTCCAAATGTACATTTTGGGCCATTATGAATAATGCTATGTAAATGCATTTCTGCTGTATCTATGCATGGGAATGGAATTTTTAGGGCATGAATGTGTATATATATTTTCCCCTTTAGTGGATAATATCAAACATTTTTCCACAGTTTTTGACAATTTACACACCCCTCATCAGTGAAGGAGGGAATTTATAATTTCATTTACCATCATAGTTGATATTATCAGTCTTTTTTTTTTTTTTTTTTTGCGGTACGCGGGCCTCTCACTGTTGTGGCCTCTCCCGTTGTGGAGCGCAGGCTCAGCGGCCATGGCTCACGGGCCCAGCTGCTCCGCGGCATGTGGGATCCTCCCGGACAGGGGCAGGAACCCGTGTCCCCTGCATCGGCAGGCGGACTCTCAACCACTGCACCACCAGGGAAGTCCTATAAGTCTTTTTAATTTTAGTCATTTTGGTGGGTAGGTAGTGATATTTCATTGTGGTTTTAGACTGGATAAAAAAGCAAAATCAAACTATATGCTGCCTTATGGGAGACATACTTTAGATTCAAAAATACAAATCAGTTAAAAGTAAATGGATGGAATCTATGCAACGGAAACAGACTCACAGACATAGAGAAGACAGGCTTGTGGTTGCCAAGGGGAAGGGGGAGTGGGGAGGGAAGGATTGAGTGGTTGGGATTAGCACATGCAAACTAGTATATATAGGATGGATAAGCAACAAAGTCCTACTGTATGGTGCAGGGAACTATATTCAGTATCCTGTAATAAACCATAATGGAAAAGAATATGAAAGAGAATGTATGTATATGTATATAGAATCACGTGGCTGTACAGCAGAAATTAACACAACATTGTAAATCAACTATACTTCAATAAAATATTTTTTTAAAAAGCAAATGAGTGGAAAAGATTTCCATGCAAACAGCAAACACAAGCTAAGTGACTATCTAATATCAGACGAAACAAACTTTAAAAACAAACAAAAAAATGTTGCTAGAGAAAATAAGGGCATTTTATAAGAAGAAGCCCATCCATCAGAAATATATAACAATTGGGACTTCCCTGGCATTCCAGTGGTTAAGACTCCACACTTCCACTGCAGGGGGCACAGGTTCCATCCCTGGTCAGGGAAGATCCTGCATGCTGAGCTGCACAACCAAAAAAAATATATATGACAATAATGCACATAATAACAGTGCTCCGAAATACAGGAAGCAAAAACTGACAGAACTGAAGGTGTAAATAAACAGTTCACCAGTGGTAGTTAGAACAACTAGAGAGAAGATCAACAAGGAAATAGAAAACTTGAACAGCATAAACCAACTAGACCTAATAGACATTTATGGAAAACTAGTAACAGCAGAATATACATCCTTCTTAAGTGCACATGGAACCTGCTCCAGGATAGAACGTATGCCACACCATAATACAAGTCTCAATAAATTTAAAAGGACTGAAATTATACAAAGTATTCCTATGACTACAAAGGAATGAAATTAGAAGTAAGTAGCAGAAAGAAATTTGGGAAGTTCAAAAATATGTGGAAATTAAACAAAGCACTTTTAAATAATCAATGGGTAAAAGAAGAAGTATCAAGAGAAATTAGAAAAATTTTGAGATGAATGAAAATGAAAACACAGTATACTAAGATATGATGTAGCAAGAGTAGTCTTTACAGGGAATTTTAGAACAAGACTATATTACATAGAGAGACTACATGAAAACAAATCTAATATTCTCCCTTAAGACACTGGAAAAAGGTGAGCAAACTAAACCCAAAGCAGGCAGAAGGAAAGTAATATAAAGGCTAGAGTGAAAATTGATGAAACAGAGAATAGAAAAACAGTTGAAAAAATCAACAAAACCAAAAGTTGGTTCGAAAAGATTAGCTAGACTGACGAGAAAAAGAAAAGAGAGAAAGATCCAAATAACTGAAATTATGAATGAAAGAGGGAACATTAATTCCAACTTCACAGAAGTACAAAGCTCTATTAAGCAATACTATGAACAAGTGTATGCCAAATTAGATAACTTAGATAAAATGGAAAACTTCCCAGAAATGCACAGACTACCCAAACTGACTCAAGAAGACATATACAAGCGGAATAAATCTTTTGTCCTTTAAAAAAATTAGTACATGTTAATTTTAGAGGAGTTTTAGGTTTACAGAAACATTGAGCAGAAAGTACAGAGTTCCCATATTCCCCCCAACACGGTTTTCCTGTTATTAACATCTTGCATTAATATGCTACATTTGTTGCAATTGATGAATCAGCAGTAACACATTATTATAAAATATTATTAATGTAATGTATCTATGATTACAGTATCATACAAAATAGTTTCATTGACTAAAAATCCCCTGCATTTCATTTATTCATCCCTCTCCTCTTACCCCTGAAACGCTGGCAACCACCGATTTTTTTTTTTAACTGTCTTTATATAGTTTTGCCTTTTCCAGAATGTTGTATAGTTGGAATCATACAGAATGTAGCCTTTTCAGACTGGCTTCTTTCACTTAACAATATGCATTAAAGGTTTCTCCATGTCTTTTTGTGGTTTGATAGCTTATTTCTTTTTACCACTAATTAGTATTTCATTGTGTAGATGTATCACAGTGTGTTTATCCAGTCAGCTATTGAAGGATATCTTATTGCTTCCAGTTTTTGGCAATTATGAATAAAGCTGCTGTAAACATTTGTGTGGAGGTTTTTGTATGAACATAAATTTTCACCTCGTTTGGGTAAATACCTAGGTATGTGATTGCTGGATCATATGGTAAGACTATGTTTAGCTTTGTAAGAAACTGCTAAATTGTCTTCCAAAGTGGTTGTACCATTTTGCATTTCTACCGACAATGAATGGCAGTTGCTTCACATCCTTGCTAACATTTGATGTCAGTTTTGGATTTTAGCCATTCTGATAGGTGTGACATAGTATCTCATTGGTTTAATTTGCAATTCCCTAATACAGGGGTCTGGTACTGGTCGGCGGTCTGTTAGGAACGGGGTTGCACAGCAGGAGCTGAGTGGTGGGCAAGCGAGCGAAGCTTCATCTGCCGCTCCCCATCGCTCGCATGACTGCCTGAACCTCCCCCCAGCCGCCGTCCATGGAAAAATTGTCTTCCATGAAACCGGTGTCTGGTGCCAAAAAGGTTGGGGACCCGCTGCTCTAATAGCATATGATGTAGAAATGTGACTCTACTCTCATTTCTTTTCCTTTGCGTTGACAAGGACCTCCAGGATATATTGACTAGAAGCGATGACTACAAACATCCCTTTCTCATTCCTGATCTTGGAACAAAAGCTTTCAACATTTCACATTTAGTATAAATTTCTTTAGCTATCCTTTATCAAATTAAGGAAATTCTCTACTTTTCCTAGTTTGCCAAGACATTTTGTTATGACTGGATGTTGACTTTATCAAACACATTTTCTGTGCTTATTATCGAGGTGTGACAACCTGCTTGGCGTTTGTAGGGCGTCTTAAATTCATTGTTTGATATCTGTTGTTGATTTGGAAAATTTCTCAGCCATTATCTTCAAATATAAATTTCTGCTGCATTCTGCTTATCTTCTTTCCTTCTGAAAATCTGATTACATGTATGTTAGACCTTTTGACTAAATCCTTTTTGTCTCTCACTCTATCTTACATATTTTCTATTCTTTGGTCTCTATGGACTTTATTCAGGATATTTTCTTCTAACCTGTCTTCCAAATCTCTTATCTCTTTGTTTCTAATGTGCTATTATAAAAACCCGTCCATTAAGTTCTTAATTTTTTTAGTTCTAGAATTTCACTTGTTTTCCCCACATAATTAGCATGGTATTTTAAAAGTCCATGGCTATTAATTCCAATATCTATAGCTCCTATGGACTGTCTCTTTCTCCTCCCCCCCACCCCCTGCAATGTTCTCTTGTTTCCTTGTATGCCTGGTTACTTAATTGGTTTTTTAAAAAATTTTAAGCCACTTTATTGAGGTATGATTATTGGCATACAAATAGCTATGCATATTTAATGCGTACAACTTGATGAGTTTGGTGAACCTAGCTACTTGTTTGTATGTATGTGTGTGTGTATATATATACATATATATGTGTGTGTGTGTGTGTATATGTGTGTGTATATATATATGAACTAGACATTGTATTTGTGAGCTTGTGTGTAGAAATTACGAGAGCCTTAACATATGTTGCTCTGGATAGGATCTATGTATGCTTCTTCCATTCTTCTATGCACCAGCATTATCTCAATCCAATTTAATGATTGAGATGGTTCAAAGCTGAGTTGGAGTTCCTATAAGAGCCCATCCTTCTAGTTTACCCTTTCTCCGAGGGTAGAGCCATTTGGAGTCTTAACCCAATGTGCAGAGGATTGCCCTTGGTCCTCCTACCTTAGGAAGCCCTGATACCTACTCTGTGTCCATCTAGCCTCACAAGGGCCTACTACCTATCAATCAGAGGGCCTGGCTCTCAAATATTTTTTTTAATAAATTTATTTATTTTATTTATTTATTTTTGGTTGCATTGGGTCTGTGTTGCTGTGCGCGGGCTTTCTCTGGTTGCAGCGAGTGGGGCCTACTCTTCGTTGTAGTGCGCGGGCTTCTCATTGCGGTGGCTTCTAGTTGCGGAGCATGGTCTCTAGGCGCGCAGGCTTCAGTAGTTGTGGCACCCAGGCTCAGTAGTTGTGGTGCACGGGCTTAGTTGCTCCGCGGTATGTGGGATCTTCCCGGACCAGGGCTTGAGCCTGTGTCCCCTGAATTGGCAGGTGGATTCTTAACCACTGCGCCACCAGGGAAGCCCTCAAGTATTTTTTGAATGAGCAAATGAACTTACTACCTGGCACTCGTTATTGCTACTTGCTGAAATACAGATTAACCTTTGTCTAATCTGAAACAAATTTTAGAATCACAATTTCTAAATTTAAGAAGAGTTTGAAATCTAATAATATTACTTTAAGTACTCCATAGTTAAGTGGTATAGTACTTGACTCTTCAAAATACTTGTTATAAGTAATCTACAGATGACTTCTTTTTTTGGAACTCATGTCATCTGTCTTCATTTTTTTTTTTTTTTTTGCGATAGCGGGCCTCTCACTGTTGTGGCCTCTCCCGTTGCGGAGCGCAGGCTCAGCAGCCATGGCTCACGGGCCCAGCCGCTCCGTGGCATGTGGGATCTTCCCAGAACGGGGCACGAACCCGCGTCCCCTGCATCTGCAGGCGGACTCTCAACCACTGCGCCACCAGGGAAGCCCATGTCTTCATTTTATTGATCCTTTCTACTGTTAAAATATGATTCATTCTTAAATGTCTCCATTTGCTGTTTTTTTAAATCTCATTTATTTAGCAAGCTTTATTTTTTTAACATCTTTATTGGAATATAATTGCTTTACAGTGTTGTGTTAGTTTCTACTGTATAACAAAGTGCATCAACTATATGCATATGTATATCCCCATATCCCCTCCCTCTTGCCTCTTCCTCCCACTCTCCTTATCCCACCCCTCTAGGTAGTCGCAAAGCACGGAGTTGATCTCCCTGTGCCATGCAGCTGCTTCCCACTAGCTATCTATTTTACGTTTGGTAGTGTATATATATGTCAGTGCTACTCTTTCACTTCGTCCCAGCTTACCCTTCCCCCTCCCTGTGTCCTCAAGTCCATTCTCTGCGTCTGTGTCTTTATTCCTGTCTTGCCCCTATGTTCATCGGAACCATTTTTTTTTTTAGATTCCACATATATGTGTCAGCCTACGGTATTCATTTTTCTCTTTTTGACTTACTTCACTCTGTATGACAGACTCTAAGTCCATCCACCTCACTACAAATAGCTCAATTTCATTTCCTTTTATGGCTGAGTAATATTCCATTGTATATATGTGCACATCTTCTTTATCCATTCATCTGTCGATGGACACTTAAGTTGCTTCCATGTCCTGGCTATTGTAAATAGAGCTGCAATGAACATTTTGGTACATGACTCTTTTTGAATTATGGTTTTCTCGGGGTATATGCCCAGTAGTGGGATTGCTGGGTCATATGGTTGTTCTATTTTTAGTTTTTTAAGGAACCTCCATACTGTTCTCCATAGTGGCTGTATCGATTTACATTTCCACTAACAGTGCAAGAGGGTTCCGTTTTCTCCACACCCTCTCCAGCATTTATTGCTTGTAGATTTTTTGATGATGGCCATTCTGACAGGTGTGAGGTGATACCTCATTGTAGTTTTCATTTGCATTTCTCTAATGATTAGTGATGTTGAGCATTCTTTCATGTGTTTTTTGTCAGTCTGTATATCTTCTTTGGAGAAATGTCTATTTAGGTCTTCTGCCCATTTTTGGATTGGGTTGTTTGTTTTTTTGATATTGAGCTGCTTATATATTTTGGCAATTAATCCTTTGTCAGTTGCTTTGTTTGCAAATATTTTCTCCAGTTTTTTTTTTTAACATGTGCTATATGAAAGGAACCCTCCTAGGTGCTGGGGTTATAAATGCAATCTAGTTCCTGCTCTTAAGGAGCTTAGGGAAGTAATGATGCTATGAGATAATGGCTATATGGAAGTTGCCCGTGTGGTACTGGGTTAGGCATACCCAAGAAATGCTAGTCTTGAAGGACAAATAGGAGTTGAAGAGGTGATCAAGTAGGATTTATGGAATTGTTTTCCGGTAAGTTAATGATATCTTTACAAGCATGCCAATTTCTCTATTAGCTAGTTTAAAGAGGTTTTGATTCTTTTGTTTCTTTTGGTAGATATTTTCTGTGACATTCCAGGTAAGTAATATTTTAGGCTTTAAAGGCCATAAGGATTCTGTCACAAACAGTCTGCCATCGTAGCATGAAAGTAGCCATAAATAATACATAAATAAATGAGCATGGCTGTGTTCCAGTAAAACTTTATTTAAGGACATGGAAATCTGAGTTTCATATACTTCTCATCTGTCACAAGGTATTCTTTCTGTTCTTTTAACCACTATAAAATTACAAAAATGTTCTTAACTTGAGGTACAGACAGCAGGTTGGATTTGACCTATGAGCCATACTGTGCCATCCCATTTTAGACTTTCTATATTTAGACATATTTGTATATCTAAACTGAAAAAGAGATACACTTTGTTTTTTTCATCACAAAAGTAAACATTCTTGGTGTAAAACTAAAGCCTTTCATACCCTATAGTAATTGCTTAGAACAATTGGGGGTAAATTCTAGAAATTATTTCTCTATGTATATATTAATTTTTATAAAAAATGGGATTATATTGTATTTAGTGGTTGGCACTTAGTCATGCACTTAATAATTTAGCCTTTTGAATTGATTTTGTGCTGTTGTGTTTTCAAGGTGCGAAAGGCAATTGAAGAGGAAAATTGCTGCTTTGGGACTATTGATACCTGGTTGTTACATAAGCTCACAAAAGGTAAAGATGATTTGATAGATCTGTATCTCAAGTAAGTGGAATTTGACTGACAGAAATGACCTATCTGAAAAAAGTGGACGTTTGAAACTTTTTCCTCCATATCCCAGACATACTGTTTCTTTGGTACCGTAGTTACTTCATATTAAACTAAAGCTAGATTAATTTCAGATTTATTCTAAGAGGAGGGTGATTTTAAAATTGTGATGAAACCTCAAACATAAGACCGAGGAACAGTCGTAATTTCGAGAGTGGAAGACTTGAGTTCAATTCCTAATCTACCACTTTGCAACTATACGTATAGTATAGCTATAGGTAATCACGTTGCTTCTCTGAGCCCCTTTCCACATCTTTAAACTGGGAATCATGATATGGAAATGTGCCTGAAAGTGCTTTTGTAAAGTATAAAATTTCAAAAAGGTTTAGTGGGAAATTGCTTTGGAGACTTTGCACTGGAAATACACATTTTGGAATGAATTTGAGGGCAGACAAAGGTCGAGACTATAAACTAGGGATAGGTGTTGATTTATACTACCTGATCATAAATAAATTGTTTCCAATATAAATTTAGGTTCTGAATTTGCCACAGATTTTTCAAATGCCAGTACAACTGGACTTTTTGACCCATATGAGGTAAAGTTTTTTTCCCTTCTTTTCTCTTTTTGAATTTATTTATTTTACTTTTGGCTGCATTGGGTCTTCATTGCTGTTCACGGGCTTTCTCTAGTTGTGTCGAGCGGGGGCTACTCTTCGTTGTGGTGTGCGGGCTTCTCATTGCGGTGGCTTCTCTTGTTGTGAAGCGTGGGCTCTAGGCGCGTGGGCTCTAGGCGCCCGCGGGCTTCAGGAGTTGTGCACGTGGGCTCAGTAGTTGTGGCTTGCAGGCTCTAGAGCGCAAGCTCAGTAGTTGTGGTGCATTGGCTTAGATGCTCCTGGCATGTGGGATCTTCCCGGACCAGGGCTCAAACCCGTGTCCCCTGCATTGGCAGGTAGATTCTTAACCACTGAGCCACCAGGAAAGCCCCTTCCCTTCTTTCTGAGTCACCAATTTTTCTGTAATTTAGCTTGGATTCTGATGACATGTTTCTGTGCTCAGATGTGCTGGAGTAAGCTCATCACCTCCCTGCTTTCAATCCCGCTCTTTCTGCTGCCTCCCGTGAAGGATACGAGGTAATAATGAAAATCAGACGTAGAAACCAGCAAAATTGTCCCTGAATTCACCTGGCCTGTGTGGGGAAAAGCATCTTATTATACATTTGAGGTGCTTGTATGTTCATTATGTAACTTTTTGGCCTACGCTAAAAACAATTTGCTGAATTTTAGAATTAATATTTCTAGAGCTATAACTTACTTTTTAACCAATTTTATTTGAAGCCACAATTTTGGATCAGTGGATGAAGAGATATTTGGCGTGCCTATACCAGTAGTGGCCTTGGTAAGTAGAAAACTTGAGGGCTTCTCCTTGTATAGTATAAACTAAATGAATGTATATGAATAGTTAGGATTAGATTTAAGAAACAAAAAAGGTCCTTGCAGAATAAAGTTAAAGTATCTTTTTTCTTTTTAACTTAAAGGGCTCTCAATATAATCAGAAGTGTTCTCCACTTTCTGGAAAAAGGACCTGTGGGCCAGTGTTCTATCATGGAAATATTTGATAACCTTTTCTGACTTCTCTATATATAGTTTTCCAGAAAACTGTGTTAAATTTTTTTAAATGTTGTATTTTGAGTAATGTGTGGCTTGTATTTAATACTCTGAGATAAAAAACCGTGATGGGGCCAATGCTTAGTTTATATATGACATAGTATAATGATAAACCGTGATAGGGCAATTAAAGTAAAGAAGAAATATATTTACATTTTATAAAATCCTTCCTCAGCATCTACTTAGCTGGTAAAGAATTTGTGGATGAGTGAAAAATTAGCTGTTTCTGATTTTTGAGGTTTCTTTCTTTATTATAGAAACTCAGACCTTGTCTTTAATTTCCTGTAACAGCTTAACCAGGAGGTATAGAGCATCTGTCCCTAGATGGACAGTCACTATGGTAGGTGGAGAAATCAAGTGAGGGGAGGGGAATTAAATTCTCAAGTTACAAATTCCTGGAGAGGATCAGTCTTAGTAGACTCAGGTTTAGATTAAGGTATGGCTAGAAGACATAGATTAGTGAGAAAGCATTCTTCAGATGAGTTTTGGTCCTTAAAATATTGCTGTATATATATCTACATGTAGTTACATTAACAAAATGTTATAGGGAAGTCCCTGGTGGTCTAGTGGTTAGGATTTGGCACTTTCACTGTCATGGCCTGGGTTCAATTCCTGGTTGGGGAGCTGAGATCCTGCAAGCTGTGAGATGTGGGGAAAAAAAAAAAAGTTATAATTTTTTTAACAAAAATGTATGTTTGGGAAATGTATATTTTTAACCTACATCTACTTATACACCTATCTCTCTTATTAAAAGAGAAATTTGTGTGGCCAGTTATTTTGACTAATGAATGAAAATGCTTGCAAGTTTCAAATGAACAATCTTAGTTGTTTTTTTCTGGACAAATTTTATTCTGACTTTTATTTCTAAGATTATTCTTATGATACTTAAAAGTGGTGAAGTAGGTAGACTGCTGAAAATTCCTGAGACACGTTAGTTATCCCCATAACGTTAGTCCTAGAGAGACTCCTATCATATAGTTGTTGCTCTCTGTTTCCTTTTTTTAAGGAAAAGGAAATAAAATGGTGAACCATGAGAATACAATAAGTAAGACAGTGGGATACAGTGAAATGGAACACTGCTAAGGGCCCAAGGTCTTATATTTGAATGTTTTTGGTAGGTTGCTGACCAGCAATCAGCCATGTTTGGAGAATGCTGCTTCCAGACAGGAGATGTGAAGTTAACCATGGGAACTGGGACATTTTTGGATATTAATACTGGAAATAACCCTCAACAGAGTGTTGGAGGTAGGTAGTTAGAATATATCCTATTTATTAACAAAATATCCCTTCTTTTTACTTGTTTAACTTTTGTGACACTATTTTCTTATTTTATATTAAGGATATTGTCTAATATTTTTCATTATTCTTCTTAGAGACAGTTAATCCCCATTTCCCTTTTTTCTTAAATTAAAAGCACTAAAAAATGAGAAAAATTTTAGGGAAACGTTCAGAAAGACTAGGGTATTTTGGTCAGCTTTCCAAATATTTACCTATAATACATGTTATATTTGTTGAAAACATCTTTCTAGGCCTCTAAAATTTCTTTTATGTGTTAGAATTTCTTCTTTTTGTGATACTTTTTGGCGGTGGTACTTCTCAACTAGTGATCCATGCATATTTAGGGTTTTAATGACAATTGCTAAGAATTTGCTCTCTCTAATGGAGGAAATCCTGGAATGCACAAACCAAGAAATTTAGATTGTATAACTACACCCAGGAGAGCTTGGGGCTCTTAGTCTGAGCTCTGGTCTCCTAACATGGTTACTAAGAGGTGGATTTAAAAATGTTTTTCTTGCCTTTCATCCCCCCTAAAGTTCTTCCTTTTTCCCTAACTGGGAAAATGAAAGCTGGAAAAATGATCATTATAAAAATTAAGTTAAATGAAAAAAAAAACACAGAAGAATGATCATTGTTTCTATTTAGGAACGTTGTTTAGAAACTACAGATAGGGGACTTCCCTGGCAGTCCTGTGGTTAAGATTTTGCCTTCTAATACAACAAATTCAATAAAGAGTTAAAAAAAAATTAGTAACTACAGATAAATGCAATAGCATGGTTAGTTGTCTGACAAACCAATCTCATAATAACCTTTAATTTCTCAATTAAAATATTGTTTCTGTGTTTCTAGAGACACAGATATGCTTGTAGCTACTAAAAGCTAATATTTATTGTTCTTTTTCTATGCCAGGCACTGCCCTAAGTCCTTTTTCAGTTTATTTTCACAGAAGCTCTCCGAGGTAGACCACTTTACAGTCGAGGAAACTGAGACTAAGAAACTAGAAACTTGTAAGACCACAGCTAGAAAATGAGAGAGGGCTGGGATTTGAACTCAGGCAGTCTGACTCCACAGGCATGTTGCTAGTTTTTGAGATAATCAAATTGTTCCACTGTAGACTCCTCTGTAATTAATTCACTATTTATTGTGTGACTTATATTGTTTATTTGTTTTTAAGGCTTTTATCCATTAATTGGGTGGAAGATTGGGCAAGAAGTGGTGTGCTTAGCTGAAGGCAATGCAGCAGACACCGGTACTGCCATACAGTGGGCTCAACAGTTAGGTGAGTCGTCTGTTTCAACAGATTTCATAGGCCAGACATAACTCAGGAAAGCCACAGGATCGCAGATCAGCACGAATGGATGATTCAAATGAAACGAAATAAAATGACGTGCTAGAAGAAAATACAGGATGTTATTTTTATGACATTGGGATGGTAAAAGGCTAGGCATTAAAGCCAGATACCATAAAGAAAAAGAATAATAGATGTAAGTATAGAAAACATTAGAACGTGTAGGGAGAGATGCTGTAGCAAAGTTGAAAGACAAACTGGTAAGGACAATTTGTAGCATATGTTAGAAAAATTTAAAAAGATAACCAAAAAATTGGACAAAAGGCAGAGGAATAGGTATTTTTTAAATCAAGTGACTGTTAAAATATGCTGTTTAAATTCAATAATCAAAGAAATACACATTTAAAAATTGATGTCTCCTATGATTGTCAGAAATTAATTACTTCTACGATGCTCAGCATTGATGGAAACGTAGAGAGAAAAGTATTCTTGTTTCCCATTGCGATGAATGTTAATTAGTATGGCCTTTCTGGAGGGCAATTAGGCAACATGTATCATTTTATAGAGTACAGACCCTTGACCCTCAGATCTATTCTTTGTTTCCTAAGAAAATAATCATACAGGTGTGCAAAGACATGTGTACATACATGGGTGTTTAACACGGCAATTGGAAATAAGTTCCCGTCTAATAATAAAGCGTTAAGTAAGTAAATGTCAGTACATCCATATAGTAGAACGCTGTACAAATAACACAAATACTGTAGTCACAAATAACCGTGTAGTTGCACATCTTATTGACATGCAACATTGTCTGTGATACATTAAGGAAGGGATGAAGCAGTCGCAGAACAGCCTGTATGAATATTTTTTGCTTTTTTTTAAAAACAGCTTTTTGAGATATAATTCACATGCCAAATAATTCACTTACTTACGGTGTACAATTCAGTATTTTTTAGTATTTTCACAGGGTTGTGTAGCCATCACCACAATCTAATTTTAGAATATTTTTGTTCTCCATAAAAGAAACCCCCCTACCCATTGGCGGTGACTCCCTGTTCTACCCCCCAGCCCTAAGCTACCATTAATCGACTTTCTGTCTCTATGGATTTGCCTATTCTGGACATTTCATATGGATGGAATCAAACAATATGTGGTCTTTTGTGACTGGCTTCTTTCACTCAGCATGTAATGTTTTCAAGGTTCACCCATGTTGTAGCATGTATCATTACTTCATTTCTTTTCATTGCTGAATAATTTTCCACCATATGGATGAACCAGCATTTATCCATTCAACAGTTGATGGCCATCTGGGTTGTTTCCACTTTTTGACTGTTGTGAATAATGAAGAGCCTATATATTATATAACCATATTTAATGCATACAGTATGTAGTGTTATATACCAAAGTATTAACAATAGTTATGTCTGATGATTAAATTATGAGGGGCTCTGCTATCTACTTTGCTGATTTGAACTAAACTGATTTGTTTAAAGACAAAGATAATTCTGTTGGCAGAAAACATACACTTCAGGAGGAAAATGCCAATCCATTTCTTCCTTTCTCTCTCTTTCTCTATAAGCCTGCACCTGCATTGTCATCATAAGATTACTTATTAACAACAACAACAAATTGTTTGTTTGGAAGATTTTTATCACTTAAAAGTCTCTTCTTCCTTAAATGTACTTCTTTTAATTTTTTGGACATGTATCTTTAGTCAACTCAGAATTATCAGAAATAGAAAATATAGGTTACCTATTTCTTCTCTTTTAGTTATACCTTTTATTAATTTTACTCTTTCCCCCTGCCAAAAAAAAAGTGCAAAGAAAAAGCAGAATAATTTCACATTCCTCATTAAAAAAAAATCTCTCCCAAGTTCCTTTGACATCATGTACACATTATCAGGGGGAATCATTTCCACTGCTTTGCTGGATTGGGGCTCATTCACTGTGATTCTCAAATGATGAAAACTCTTTTCTGGGGGATGGAGCTAAATGGCCCTGACCTAGAAAAGCGGTGTGATTTCCAGTGGACACATAAGCCCCTCCTAAAGACCAGTCCCATCTCTGGCAGGAAGCAGGACCATTTGTCTGACTGGAGAGAGAGAGAGAGAATTCAGAGTTGAATTATTTACTTAAAAATTTCAATCATTGGACTTCCCTGTTGGCGCAGTGGTTGAGAGTCCGCCTGCCGATGCAGGGGACGCTGGTTCGTGCCCCAGTCCGGGAAGATCCCACATGCCGCGGAGCGGCTAGACCCGTGAGCCATGGCCACTAAGCCTGCGCGTCTGGAGCCTGTGCTCCGCAATGGGAGAGGCCACAGCGTGAGAGCCCCAAAATTCAATCATTGGCAGAGCTAAACATTATTGGTATACATCTGTCTGAAATGTAAAAAAAAGTTGACCTTTATTTGAATATATCTCTTTCTGTTCTGAGAATTCACTTTAATGAGTATATCGAGAAAATAACTGAATTATGTTCAGGAGAAACACAGTGCATAAGAGCCTGAGTGACCCTGTCATTTCCTTGAAGATGTGTATTCTGAGCATTTATGTCTGTGTGACATGCTGCGTTTGTTCCACTCTGAATGGTGGCTTCCTCCTACCCCTTTGCTGGGTTGAATGCCTCAGTCGAGCTCAGGCACGAAAGCTCTTTTAAACCACTTTCATCTTGACTTTCAGATTTATTTTTTTAATCTTTTTCACACAGGCCAATTCTCTCACTTTTTTCCCCCTTGAGTTCCTATGGGATCATCTCTTTTTCCTTTTCATCTGGTCCATCTCGGCTCCCCTTCACTCTTTGTTCCCTATTTTGCTATCTCAATCTTAGAAATATTTCTATGTCTTCCAGCTTTTATTCAGTTAACAAGTAATTAAGTGCTAAGTACGAACCTGGACCTGTACATGCTAGGAGACACCAGTGGATAAGACAGTCACTCCCTGCCCTCACAGAGGTTATAGTCTAGCAGGAAAGATGTATATTAAATGAATAATGGAAAAAAACAAAAGAAATTAGTGTTAAGTACCAGGAAAGAGAAATAGAGGTAGAATCAGTGATCTCTTTCTAAAGGGAGTGCTTTGTTTGGTCTGGGGAATCAGAGAGCTTCTTTAAAGAAGTCATGCTTCAGGCTTCCCTGGTGGTGCAGTGGTTAAGAATCCGCCTGCCAATGCAGGGGACACGGGTTCGAGCCCTGGCCCGGGAAGATCCCACATGCCGCGGAGCAACTAAGCCCATGCTCCACAACTACTGAGCCTGCACTCTAGAGCTCGTGTGCCACAACTACTGAGCCCACGTGCCACAGCTACTGAAGCCCGCGTGCCTAGAGCCCGTGCTCCGTAACAAGAGAAGCCCCTGCAATGAGAAGCCCGCGCACGGCAACGAAGAGTAGCCCCCGCTCGCCGCAACCAGAGAAAGCCCGTGCACAGCAACAAAGACCCAATGCAGCCAAAAACAATAAATAAATTAAATAAATAAATAATTTATTTTTAAAAAGTCATCTGCAACTAAAAAAAAAAAAATAGAAAAAGAAGTCGTGTTTCAGCTAGGACTGAAGGAAGAACAAGAGTGGTTGGACAGATGGGAAAAGCACTTGGTCAAGGAGCAGCCCAAGCAGAGAGGACCAGTGAAGAAGGCCCTGAGCAGGGAGAAGCATGGCCTATTTAAGGAACTGAAAGAACGCCCTATTTCTTTTCTACAACTGAGACAGTTCCCATCTCTGTTGTCCTCCAGTAACTCGGGTCAGGGGACATCTTTTCCCTAGCAATTCCACTTTTAATTGCTACATGTCACATCTGCCTGCTCCAGGCAAGCCCCATCAGACTCCCAGTATACATTGTAAATTACCCAGGACTCTTGTTTACTAGAAATAAAGGAAACTGATTTCTTCTCTCTGGGCCTCTTCTGAAGAGAGATAACAGCCTCTCTCATTAGAGGAGAGGAGATAAACATTCTCTCATCTAGGAACTAATTAGGTGGTGGTGAATGGTTACATGCTATTGCTAGTGAGTAGGGTTTTTGTTCATGGTCTTGCATCCCTCTTGCTTCCTGCTGGGATGACACACAGTAAGATAAATATGGCTGCAGCTGGAGTGGAACCCAGTCATGAATGAAACCTTGAGTTGTCAAGGAGACTGTGCAGACCCAGGGTCTGTAGAGGGCACCAACTGAGTGTTATTGGTGAAAATACCAGAGGCTGGTGAGGACCCTGTAGATGTTCTCTATGGATCGAGCCTGCTGAGCCAAGAGAAAATCCCCTCAGATGTGGAGAAGAAAAAGCTGGGCCTCCCCACTCCTGGGAGAACCTAATAACAGTGGACGTCAGTACTGATTGGTCTGAATTGCTCCTCTTCCAGGATAAGTGGAGAGGCCCAATCTTTCTCAAACTCTGAGAAACCCGAGAGCCAAGGGTATTCATTCCCTTACCTCTCACTGCCTGCCAACCCCATAAGCCTGACCTGAAGGAGAGCACAAAGCATTCAAGAACATCCAGTACCTTGAAGGAGGGTGACCAAATTCGATAAAGCACAACAGGTGGCTCCCACAGAGGCCGATGTCATGGAGGAAACAGAAGATTAAAATAACAACAACAGTGGGCTTCCCTGGTGGCGCAGTGGTTCAAAATCCGCCTGCCAATGCAGGGGACACGGGTTCGATCCCTGGTCCAGGAAGATCCCACATGCCACTGAGCAGCTAAGCCCGTGCGTCACAACTACTGAGGCTGCGTTCCACAACAAGAGAAGCCACTGCAATGAGAAGCCCACGCACTGCAATGAAGAGTAGCCCCCGCTCGCCGCAACTAGAGAAAGCCCGGGCACAGCAACGAAGACCCAACGCAGCCAAAAATAAATAAATACATAAACTTATTAAAAATATATAACAACAGGGCTTCCCTGGTGGCGCAGTGGTTGAGAGTCCGCCTGCTGATGCAGGGGACACGGGTTTGTGCTCCGGTCCGGGAAGATCCCACATGCTGCGGAGTGTCTAGGACCATGAGCC